CACTAAACCAACATGTTGTTAATACTTCCTCACATTTGCACGTTACCGCTACAGTTTTCCTAGGCCCTCACTGAATCTCCAGAAAGCAACTACTCACCCAACTAAGTAAAATAAAGAGAATGGTATAGTACATGGGTTGGGAGAAGGGGAAGGGAGGGTGGAATATGAAATCAAGCATAGATATCCAGGCCTGGATAGAAGGACGTGGCAAGGGGCTAAACGAAGTCCCCCCACCACTTTTTAAACAACAGTTGGATTAAACACTCATCTGTCTTCCTCTTTTTCTCTTTCCTTCCCTCTCCAGCTCATGTCCACCTCCCTTTTCTATTTCTCTTGCTCTCCCTTCTTTCTGTTTTCTCTCTCCCAGACATGCTGGTAGCTAACACTTAGCATTAGTCGTCATGGTGACCATAAATCACATAAATCCAAAAATACCCACCTATAATCTGAGATGAAGCTTTTATTTCCCTAGTGAAATAATATTTTAAAAGCTGTCAGCTGACCAAAAAAAAAAAAATAATAATAATAATAATAAAAAAATAAAAAAACGGGAACACACCTCATTGTAGTAACCCAAGTAATATATTACTTCTAAAGGTTTAAATTAAAATGTCAGCCTGTTAAAAACATGCTGGTAGAGTCTTGGACACTCTTCCTGTCAGATCCTCACAAAAAAGTTGACTCTGTTATTCCTGATCATTCTTAAACACACACACACAATTCTCTATGCGCTCTCCCTTTCTATTAATTTCTTCCTTCCTCTACCCAACTACTTTAGTTCTCAAAGACTCTATGCATTGGGTTCTAAAAGAAAGAAATCTCCTCCAGGATCAGAAAAGAGCCTCACGGGTTGCTGAAGTGAAAGATGTGGGGTTTGGGGAGGAAAGGTGATTAGGATCATCATGGCACTGGTGGTAGGGGGTCTTCCTAGAGGAGTTAAGAAGAAAAAAACTGCAGGGAGAAGGACTAGAGGTGGAAAGACAGAGTAACAGAAAACTGAGCTGGGTAGTCAGGCGCTGTGGGGAAGTCTAGCCCCGAAACGGTAGGTATGTATTCTCCCACTCCTGCGTTTTTCTCCCCGGAGAGAAAACTTTCCCAATCAGAGACCCTGGGGGGTAGGAGGCGGGCAAACGCCGCTGCAGTTGGGCCTTTTGTCTTCTACCTTGGGCTTGTTGTCTTTTGCCTATCTTGGATTACAGGGTATTCGCCTAGATGAAGAGCCATTAATTACCCATTCAGTCAATATTAGGAAGACGACAAAGCTTTTTACATAGGATTAAGAAGACATCAGATTGTTCCATTAGTATATTCCTGCTCACGAATAAGCTTTCGTTATACATTTCCTTTTCCCCCGAGCCGCTCTAACAACTGCTGCATATATTAACAGCGGGCGGTGCGGAGTTACAGCCCAACCAGCCTTAAGAAACTTTGTGTACCGAGTCGGCAGCGAGGAACGCAACCTGCAAAGACCACCTTAGCGGGTAGGGATCCGCGGGGACTGACTACCTTCGGGCAATTTGTACAATTTCCCCTGGTGGTGAAAACCCACAAAGCGGTGGGGCGGCTTCTGCCAGTGAGCTGCAGATTTGGCTGGGGGGAAATGGGATGGCGGAGGTCGGGCGGGGAAAAGAAAATGGAAAACTCTCCTTACCCCTATCCCGTTGCTTTTTCCTCAAGCCTCATGCCCCCTTCGGCAAGCACCTGTTCCTTCCGGGCTAACCACAGTTAGAGTTCTCCACCCTTCTCTACACAACCCCTTCTTTCCGACAAGGCTCAGGGCCTTGCTCACCACCCCACGCACCACCATTTTACGTTTTGCTAGAGATGGTCTGGGCTGATCTCGCTGGTGTCCGTGTCAGGATTAAAATCGCTTCATAACGGCGAGGAAAATTGGATTATTTGCTTTCGGGGGTACATTAGGAGTCCACGTAGTATGTGCTCCGCAAACATTTGCTGATTGAATGAGAGGCGCGGGGGCAGGGCGGCGGAGAGGGGTCTGCGGCGGTCCTGGCGGCCAGGGTTATCCCAGGTCCTCCGAAGAAGGTTGGGGCCCAGCTGCTGCCGCGTGTAAAGGTGTGTGTCGCGGCTAGGGGTGCCATAAAGGACCGTGGAGCTCACCTCCCAGAGGGAGGAAGCCTGCGCACATCAGAGCCTTGGGTCCGACACTCAGCCCATATACCCGGCCAAAACTATTTAACAATTAATGCGTTCCTAAGGGAGGCCGGGGGAAGCACCCGCCCCTTGTCGGGACGCAAAGCCGGGCGTCAGGTCCAAAGGGGCTGCAGCGCAGTCCGATTTCAGCACAGAACCCAGAGCCGCTGCCCTGAAACTTTTTGAGCCATTATAGGGGAGAGTCAGTCCGTCCTCCTCCTGAAGGTGAAGATCATTTTATGAGTTCCACAAAAAGAAGATACCTTTCAAGGACCTCCAAAGCAAGAAAAGTCAAAGAAAGGCCTCTCTGCTCTAGGGGGACGTTCTCAGCCGGCTTCTCCACCATTTCCTGCTCGCTGCGCCCACCCTCTCTCAAACCTCTGGCTTTTAGGGGTCTCCAGTCGCTCTCGTGATCCCTCCCACCCCCATTCGGGGTCCTATCCAGGCTAGGCATCTGCCCAATGGGTATCAAGGGGACTTGGGACTTACTTGGGAAAGAAGGCAGAGCCTGGACTGCTTAGGAGTGAACTCTGCCTATACGGAACGTTTATTCTTTAACGAGAACACGGTGTTATGGGGGTTTTGGGGGCGGGGGGGCAGAGGCGGAGAGGGTATCGTTATAGACTATCGCGGCCCTTTAAAAATTGTGTCATTGTAAACGTTTTTTCTTTTCTTTTCTTTCTTTAAAAAAAAAAACCCTTAAAAATATACAAGAAATAAATCTTTTTGTTTTACAAGCAGGCTCTAGCCAGAACTTTGCATATTCCATAAGTTAACTTATAATCAGAGAAGGATAGTTACTCTGTCAACTGTCAACCTTTCCTTCAGCAGTGCTGGAGTTTTGCCCACTCATTTGTGATTTTTTGTGGTCTACTAGTTCCTTAATAGCCAATTAAATCAAGATTTTCAGCATTTCTTCCCATTACATGCCTTTTTCTTAGTTAATGGCAGTAAACGTGTTTGGGCAGCAATTTTTCTTTTTGGTACAAAAGTAGAAAACAGACATATTGAGTGTAGGAGAAGAGCCTTTCACGTGCACTAAAATAATGCGGTCCTGAAAGTAATGATTAAGAAAGCAATCATTCGTTATTTCTAGTTTTTTATTTGCTAATTATCAAAAGCGAAAGACCATGGGCGCCTGCCCAGCCTGTGACTGGAGCAAACAGGACTCCTCGGCTCTTAGCCGCTTCCTGCTCACCTAGGAGGACCCCATCTCACCACAGGCTTCCCCACCTGTCCTCAGAATGTATTCCCCAGGTCTAGGAAACCTGAGATGGGGACTGGGGGACGGAGGAGACGTTTTGCGTCTCTCCGGCTCCCAGCACAACAAGAAATGCCAGCCTCGGCTTTTCGACTGCGGGCCCGCCACGCGCGAGGCGAGATTGGGGAGCTCCTCTCTTCTGGCAGGAGCCAGGGCTGAGCCCGCACAAAGGATTCTCCCAAGAAGTCATCGCTGCTCTTGATATTTAACCATATCCCAAACATACTACGGTCTAATAATTTATTTTTACTATCGATTATCAAACAGAAGAAGAATTTAACACAATCTAAATGACAGAAATCACCCGACGTTATCTCGGCATTGCCCCCATTTAACCCCATGGGGTTAATCCCGAACAAGTGAGCGTTTAACTGGCCCAGCAGGGCGACTGGCGGTTGTAGTGTGGTGTCCGGGCGTGAAGCTCCAGATCGCTTTAGACACTTCGTTTCAACAAATGACCTTTCTCTCCGATTCACGGGGAAAGCCCAATGCAAGGCCTTTGTTTTCTTCTTAGTAATACGGTTTGTTTTCTTGGCCGGAGTCCCCAAATCCCACCCCCATCCCATATTACATTTGTATTCTTACACTTTAATCCGGAATGAGGGGGTTAGGAGCCGAGGGCTGTGGGGGGCTTTATCTGCTCACACTATCAAAGGTCAACAGCTTCCTAAGGTCAGGCACTTATTTACCATGGAGCCGGGGAAACGAGGAAAACAGAGGAAGGGTAAATTTGAGGTGTTTTTTTTTTTTTTTTTTTTTTCATATATTTTAAAAGAAAGGCGTCTTCCTCCCTCCATGGCTTACACACACACACACACACACACACACACACGCACGCACACCTACAGAACAAGTTTCATTTCAGCAAAGGCCTGTGCCGTAGGTTGGAGACGTTTTAACTTTTCGCGTAAGCCTGTAGACCTCCCCTGGCAATATCCCCCGACTCCTCCAGAGAGAAACCAGCCAATCAAGCAACGACAACACCAAAACCCAAGGCCTGGCAACCAGTACTTCAGACAGGTTCGCACCGACAGGGGCAAGCCTCCTTTCTACCCTGGGCTGCTAAGCACAGTTGCTGCCCTCCAGCTCTGCAGGGATGTTGTCAGCCCTCTGACCCTCCCCCAACCAGCCAAAGCAAACCTTCGCCAACTCAAGTTTCCCGTGTTTGCCTCCCGCGATAAACCGCGCACCCACAAGCCTGGGTGGGGCATGGCTGAGAGCCTGAGGGACTGAGTGGGTCCGGGTGGTGCTGCGCGTAGTGGGATATGACGAGCGACAGAGGTCGCTGTTGCACCACTTTTCCACGCCAACCAAGGCGCTGAGGTTTGCTGGAGCGTGCGTAGGGGATCAGACCACAGGGAGCGAGCGACAGGGAGAGGTGTTGGGTCTCAGGAGTGCAGTATAATTTGGGGAAAGGAATTAACGTCCCTGGGACGGCTGCTTCCCGTCCCACCCAGAGGCCGAGTTTCTAAGTTCAAGCAGCAGGCGCGCCAGGTCTGGCGGCCTCGCCTACTTGAGCTTCGTCCGAGGCCCGGAGTCCCGGAGGCGGGTGCCCAGCGCGCAGCCTGCGCTTCCCTCCCGGCCTTACCATTGGCGCCAGGATGCTGCCGCGGGAAGAGCTTGCTGCTGGCTGCCTCTTTTCGACTCTCAGGAGAGTCCGTGAACTCGACCTTTTTGATTTCGGAGTCTTTGGAGAAGAGACATTCAACCGCCGCCGGCTGCACGCCTGGGCCACGCGCCCGCCCGCACCACGTGCGGAGAGAGGCGTCCAGAGCCGCGGCCGAAAGGAGCCGGGGACGGGAGGAGGAGGAGGCGCGGGGCAGGACAGAGGAGAAAGAGGAACAAAGAGCAAAGATCCAGTTAGAGGAAAGAGCACCTCTGTCCCCCGGACCCTCTGGCAACCCGCGGCAGGATGCCGTACTCTCTCTGCGCCTCCCCTCCCCGGCTGCCAGCGATTCCAGCCGGGAGGAGTAGGCTGGGGGGCTTCGGTACGCAGCGCATCGCTGCTTCCTTGTCCACCGTCTCGCCACAGGCAGAGACCACTGGCGATTTGGTTTTGATTTCCTTCCTGCCCAGGCTGACCCCTCGGGGAAGCGCCCCTCGCCGGGGCCTCGCGGCAGGGCCGGTGCCCTGTTGCCGCCCTCGCGTGGCGCGGTCTCCCGTCCGTGACCCGGGCAGCAGAAAGGGCCTCTTACCTAATTGCACACACGCCGACACCAGTTTGCGGCAGTTGGTCTCCATTCCCCGTTATCTGCAAAACGAAAAAGAAGGAAAGCTGTGAGAAGAGGCGGCCGTCGAGTGCGCAGGGCTCAGATAAGACTGCCCATAGGCTGCTAGGTGCCTAGTTTGTGCTAGGCTTCAGGCGTGCTTTTTCGACCTGACAGCCTCTGGCTGTCCAGCAGCGTCTGCACCCTAGCCTCGGGCCCAAAACATCTAGGCGTTTATCAAGAGGGGATCTCCCTCCAGAGTGGCCCCAGAGGCCCCAGAGGTTAGAGGCCTATAAAGCTACAATGTGCTGGGGAGGCTGTGGACCTACTTTCACGAATCTCGGTACCGGGATTAAGAAGCCATTGGAACGCGATGGCAGCGGGAACGGGTGCGTGGAGAGGACTTTTATCTTTGGGAAGGTGTGTGCGACGTCCACCCTTCAGTGCTTGTGCATTACTTGGATCTCAGTAAACATTTGTAGAACGGCAGAGCCAACGTGCCCCTGCACTAGACAGCCATTTCCCTCGGTTTTCTTTAATTCTGAAACGAACGGGCTCTTGGCTTAGGGTGTTGCAGGAGCCTGCTGACTTCGGGCCTCTCATCTATCAGGAGCCACTTTTCCATATTTGGCCACATTTTCTCCTGGACATACTCACCCAGCCATTTATTTACCCTAAAGTATGATTTAAGATCGCAAAGGAGAGAAACCCGGTGGACTGAGCGAGACTGGGGAGTGCAGGGCAAACGTTCTTGGAGGGTTTCCTGCCCACCAAGAACGGAGAAGTAGCTCTGGGATAACTGCTACCCGGTTCTCCCCCTTTCTCTCCCGGGCAAGCTAAATCTTTTTCACATTTTCAACCACAAAGCAGCGAGCCAAGTATTTAACGCTCTCCCCCTACTCTGCCACAGGCAAGCCGGGAGAGGTGGGTCTTGAGAGGCTCCACCGGGTGGGTAGAAGAACCGCGGCTGCTTTAAAGACAGAAGAAAAGAAGGTCCAGGGCTCCCTAGGCCCCTTCGTTCTCAGCGCCTCTCTCCACGCTAACCAGGGTATGCTGGCGACTGGAGGGCCCAGTTCGCGCGGGTGCAGGGATCCGGGTGGGAGCAGGCGTTGCCGGGTTGGCGGAGGCACAGAGGCGGGGCAGGGAGCTGCGGCCCTGCCTCTGGCCTGAGTCTCGCTTCTCTGCGTCTCGGCCTCTCTTGTAGGGAGCAGGGCCCTGGTGGCCCTCTGGCCAAGGTCGCTACCTACAGGAGGGGCTTCCCGGCGCTGTGGCATGGGGATCCAGGGTGGGGACCTTCAGGCTGTTCCCCCACCCGCTAGCGAGAACGCGGGCGGGGACTCTGCCGATTCGATCCTTGTGGGCCCGTGGGCCCAGAAGTAGCAGTTTGGCGGCTCCAGATTTAGTGATTCTGCAGTAAAATCACAGGATTAGTCTCTGATTGAGATGTCTGTTCGTGAGATATTACAAAATTCATTATCACAGCTTTCTACTAACTCGATATGAAGTAACACAGATGGGATTTTATTAGTCCAGACTTCAAATGTTTACTTATGATAATTTCAGAGGAAATTTGCATGTCATCATCATTTCGATAATCTTTTTTTTTTTATACGTCTGAACTGGCTGCATTATTAGCCGGTAGCCGGAGCGCTGCAGATGGTAACTGCAAATAGTTTTTATTTTTTTTATTTTTTTTTAAAAGAATGAAATATACAAAAGAAAAAGATTGGGTTGCTCGGTGTAGTCAGTCAATTATTACACATTCTTCCCCCTCACTCCCCCTTGCTTCAGTGCTGAAGACCAAACAAAGCAATACAAAACAAATCTTCAAGAACTCATAGAGCTCCACTCTAAGGGCTGAAAAGAAGGTCAAGGCGTGTTCCTTAACTCACTCCTACATGTCCTTGTGACTTGGGGATTTATTTTGTAATCAAAATGAGCCTTGAGACCTACATTTTTATGCTTCGATTTAATGACCAGGCCTACTACAAGAACTGAGTCTAAATAACTGGGGAAAGATAATTTTGAAAAAAGAGGCCTCCAATTCCCGCCTGCTGCTCCTTAAACTTACCCTGTCAAGGCAGGTCTTCTGTGACAAATTTGGCTGCCAGACTTCGGGACTGGCTTCAATGGCTAATCTCACAAATTGAGACGGGAGACTTTTCCTGAGGGGAGGTAGTTCTCACCCCCAAAGTTCATGTTCTGGTTGGAATGTTTATGCCAAGGAATCTTGTTTTTGCCAACTTGGGTTTTTTATTGTGAGCATGCTAAAAAGCACTACATGGCTAATGGAGGACACGGAACCATGGCAAAGCAGGCAGGCAAGCCCGAAGAAATGAAACAATTTGCTTAAAAATAATTTCTGATGACTGCCACAGGAATGGAAGTGCAGAAAAAATATCATTTGAATAATTCCAAATCCTTTCACATTACTCCCCTTTTCACTCACATTGTTACCCCATCACAAAATCTTTAATGGACTGTTTAAAAATAAACAGCACAGGAACATGTGTTTTAAATGAACTAAATTGTGCAATTAGCCAGTAAATTAATTTGTAGTGGGTAATTATTTAAGGAAATTAAAATACTACTCAATGCAGCTCTGTATTTTACCAAGTGTAAGCCTTCTTTAAAACTAATTAATATCAGTGCTTTAGGAACATTTGAAGACAAACAGGATCAACTTAAGGAACAAAGCACCTAAATAATTTAAGCGTAGTTTTGCTGAGTTAAAGTAAAACATTCCACAAATAAAGTGACTAATTTTTTAGGGAAAGTTTGATAATTGACATTCTTTATGCTTATTTCATGTAACGTCAACAGAAACCTTCCACTTATTTTGGTTATGTGCTTTGTTTCCTTGATATTATTGGTATTTGAATTTTAGATGGATTTTTCCAAAGTGATATTTTGTATGATAGCAGCATCTCTGGTTTTGATTAATGGACTAAAAGGAATGCAAGGAAATTTCTTTATATCAGATTAATTTTTTCATATTTTAGAATGTATGAATTCCTGATATTTAAATTCATAATAGTAAAAGTTTTCTCCATTTAGGGTACTTGAATAAGACAATACTCACACAAAAGAGTAAAAAGAAATCACACCACTCTATGATAGTTCGATTTCTAAATTGCTTAAGAAAGTAAAGTGATTAAATTGGAAAAGAGGAACATTTTTGAGGTTTAGAATCGAAATTTTTTCTTAATCTCCAGTTGGAAAATAGTTCTCTGCATCCATTTAAAATGTATCTCCCGAAGTGCAAGATTGGAGCTGACTGGTGATCAATTTAAAGGAGTTATAATCCAAAGAAACGGTGCGAGCTTGGCATCCAGGCCTGGCTCCCAGGTAATTCGCTTGGGCCTGAGAGGTTGCTAACTGCCAGTATAGATGGAATCTTTTTTTTCCCCAATGGATAACAATGGGAAGGGGGCTAATCTTCCAGTAGCTGAAACTTTGTACCCAGCCCTTTATCTTGAGAATGCTAATCCTTGGCCTGAGGATTTGTTCCTGCAGTGTTGGCACCGAGATTTAAGGGAAGATACCTCGTTTTAAATGCCAGCCCTGGTCTGGCTTCCCACTCGACTTCAGCACCCCGTAGATTGTTAGTGTCTGTGGCAGGGGACGAAAGGAACAGGGCTTTGCAAGATCTGTTTGCCAACTGCGTTACCTTGGGCGGAACGCAGTCCCAAGAGCCACAAATCACCTACGGTGAAGATTCTCCGAAGTGGAACAAATTTCCAGACTCGCATTATCTCACATCCCTGCGGGATAGATGGCCTCCACTTACCGGCTACCGGGAGAGAGCTGCTGTCTCCGCGTCCCACTGCTTCCCGGGGCGATTTCCAGCGAGCCGAGGCTCCGGCTGCACCGCAAGCGCCCGAAAGCCGGGCCTGAGAAGACTGCAGATCTCCTGAGGGTGCCAAGTTCCGAAGGAGTCCACGGGGGCACCGGGGCCTCCGAAATCTAGCCGTCACTGGCAGTTTCTTTCTGCTCCTCTCCAGCTTTCTCGCTCGGTCTCGCACGCTCTCTCCGCTCCCTCCCTCTCATCCCTCTCTCTTCCCTCCGCTCCTACTCCGTGTGGGGAGTGACGTGACGTCAGCAGAGATTCCACCAAACTCCACTGCACAGCGGCGCGCGGGCGGCCGGCCGAGCCCGGCTGCGCGGCTGGCGATCCAGGAGCGAGCACAGCGCTCGGGCGAGCGCCGGGGGGAGCGCGCAGGGGCGACGAGAAACGAGGCAGGGGAGGGAAGCAGAGGCTGGCTGGCCGAAGAGTAGGGAGCTGGAGAAAAAGCCCCGGAGAGCGAAAAGGAGAGGGGACGGGGCGGGGCACTTAGGAGCCGACAGAGGAGCAGCAGCACGCACTCCCACTGTGGAAAGGAGGACCAGAAGGGAGGATGGGATGGAGGGGAAGAAAAAGGAATCTGCGCCAACCTGGGAGCCCTAATAAATCAAAAGGGGAGCGCCGGGGCAGCGGGGAGACAAAAACGTACTTCTGGGGGAGCAAATCAGGACGGGCTGGGAGGAAGCGACAGGGAAAGTGGCCAAGAAAGGGAACAAAGGACAATGTGTATGGGTTTGTTTGGGACGAGGCGCGTGGAGTGTGGGCGTGGGCGTGCGTGTGTGACCTTCTTTCAGGCCTGCAGAGTTAAGGAAAGAGGTCACGGCAAAGAGGGACTGCGGCGGGAGGAAAGTGAGGGACCGACAGAGGGCGGGAGTGGAGGTGGGCGCGGTGGGGATGAGAGAGGATGAGTGGGGAGAAATCTGGAAAAACGGAGAGGGTGGGAGGACCGCAGCCGGGAGCTAGCGGGCTTGGCTTGCCTGCTGGGGAAGGCCGGGATGCTGGGCCCAGCGCAGGCGGGACAGCGCGTCCGAGGTCAAGGCGGGTGGGCCAGGCACGCTGCGAGTGTTGGCGCGCAGGTGGGCAGGGCCACGCACTGACCAGTGTTCACGAAGGCCTTGCGCTGGACAAGGCCAGGACGCTCACAGAGTCTAGAATTTCCTCTGCTGTACCTACACTCAGCAAGTTCACCCTGGGTCACGGATAACTCATTTTTTAAAATGACGAGGTTAAGGTTCCTGGCAAGGATGGTATTAAATTGCACGAGATGGAAGTGGGGGTGGGGGAGAAAGCTTCCCTCAAGTCCACATTTGCTCCTGAAAAGCAAAGCGTATGTGAAATTCCAGGGGACAGTCTCATCCGAAAAGTGTGCCTTACTTCTGAACCCTGAATTTCTGATTTCCTGACTTGAGCAAAGACGTGTATTTTGGTAGTGAGCAGGATATTTTGGCTCTGTCCTGCTTTTGAGTGGAAGGACTATAAATATAATTCGCCTGGAGGACCAGGTGTGAAGGCTTCTGCCAGGCATATGGGACAAAGTTTTTTCAATCTCAAGGACATCCTGTTAATGTATGTTTTTGGAAAGTGTCAGAACACAGCCATTGCTCCTGGATTCAGGTTTTCCCGTCAATATTAATTCCTGCTTGGAAGCAACACTCAGGCCCTCCATTAAAAAGACCCGTCTTTGGTTCCTAATAGAGCATAAAGTTCCCTGTAAAAGTTGTATTGTTCTTCCCAAATCAATATACCAACACCTGCAATTTTAGGAATATATAATGACTCTGGAGAATGTGCATAAAATACATAAATTTTAAAAAGCTTGGTGCTTAAATCTAACCCTAGTCACTACATAGGTGCTGGGCTTTCCCTACGTTTGGGGGCTGTCTGGAACATGTTATGTGTTTTCTTGAATTATTCCCTGTTTTGAATTCATTTGAGTTAGCAGTAAAAACAGGCAAACAAACTTGCCCAATTTGTTTTGAGTGCTAAATCCCTTCACTTTGAAATAGCTAACAGTCGACAGATGGACTCATTTTATGGAAAGGGTTAGCCTCTTCAGCCACGAAGAAAACTGATGAGAGATCTACATTTTAAGCCATTTCTAACCTCCACGTAACATCCGTGAAAACTCAAACTTTCTGTTTTTACCCAGTGGAAACTCAAAGCAGTGTTATTTAAGGGGAGAGAAATGAGGGGGAAAATGGTCACGTGCTGTTTAATTGTATTTCCTTTATGACTCTGATAATTTTTATTTTTGGTTTTTGAAATCTCGCCGAGGCAAGAAAATCAAATTTCTGCAAGCTCCACAATTGAACTCTAGTTACAGCACACCGGAAAATGCAATCCGAGAAAGACATTTTCACCTCTGCCCATCGACTATTTTTGCAGCCTTCCCACTCCTCTGAGTAATGGGCTAATGTAACCCCCTCTTTTTTTCTTTTCATTTTGTAGAGATTAACAGGCGCTCGTAGCAGAACGGCTTCGCCTTTCAGCTGGTGGTGAGGATAGGCAATCTCAGGGAAAAGTTGGAAGAGAATGAGAAAACCAAAGACCGGAAGATTCAGAGACGCGCGGACAGACACCAGGAGAGGGAAGGGAGCTGCGCTGGAAGACGCGCAGATACGCGCGTGCAACTCCCTCCCCTCTTTCAGGTTTCAGTGGTTTGCACTGAGAGGTAGGGGCTCGGGAAGCTCACTTTCCCTTCGCCCCCTTCTGTCTGGAGTCTGGCCCTCCGGGGGCTGGTTAACCCCAGTCCCGGCCGCCGCAGACACTGCGCTGAGCTTTTGGGTCCTCGCCTCGCCCAGCGCCAGTGCAGCTGAAGTGAGCAGCTGGTGGGAAATGCAAATGGCTTCTGGAGAAATAGAAGATACAGAATGATTCTCATTCCCTCCTCGAGTGTGTGGAAGGAGCTGGACATACGTTTCACGCTCCTAATCCTTCTTTTACATTTTTAGTCATACTCCTATTAAACAACTAATTAATGCCCAGAATCACCAGGGAATACATTAGGCATGCAATCGTAGAAGCAGGGTGCTGGGGGGCTATAAACCACCGATCTGATTTAAGACGTGGATTTCGGGTTTTTCCCTTGTCAAAGCAGTAATGGAAGAGTGGGCCGTGGCGACTGTATTTAGATTCCGATTACTTCAAATTAGAAGGGGGTGGAGGGAGCGTCCAAGCAAAGCAAGCAATTCTCTGCCCTGCAGATGTAAACAAGATTGTAGCATCAAAGGTACAAGCTCCTTTAGGGCTAGATCGCCTGGACTGGGAACCTGGGAAGGGGAGACACTAACCTTACGGATCTGTGAATTTCAAGGATGTTACACTTTTGCATAAACAACTCCAGTGTGATCCCCTGGTAATCCCTGGGAGTAATCCCACCATTTTAGAATATTAAAATTTTTCTCCCCAAAGCGTATATCCTTTTTATTTCCTCAAAATTCTGAGCTATGTCTAAAGATAATAGTCTTCCAAGTAAACCAGAGCATTGGACCACTGCCCTCACCCTTTCCTACGGACATTTCGATGATCTGATTTTAATGTGTGGGGGGTACAGGGAATTAAATATAGCCCATAAAACTAAGCTTAGGAGAAAGAGTGCTGGCTAAGTGGGTTCAGAGAATTTTTAGTGAGGATCTCAATTACACTCCTCTCCATAATACGTTGAAGCGAGTGACAGAACTGTTAGAATGGGAATCAAATTGGAGAGCTCCAGGAGGACAACAGTTTGTGATCAAATGGGGGCAAAACCGTGGACAAATATGGGGTGACCTCCACCAACTCCCTCTCACCCAAGAGTCAGGATTTGGGAAAGGTACAGTATTATTTCAAAGCCCGCTGTGACGGGCTGTGTGCTACCATTTACTTTCTTCACTTTGGATTGTGATCTCAACCCTGGCAAGCAATTTCCCCAGCTCCTTATCTGACAACAAGCGAGTATGTAAATACCAATGGCTAGCGATGTTTAACTGCCTCAAACATTATTGATTTGTTGGCTGTTCTAAATTGTCTTCCTAGTCCAGGTCTTGTTTCCGAATTGTCTATTCCAGAGGTTTGATCTATGCCTCGGATGCTACAATACAATAATTTTTTTTTTAAAGGCATTTAAGATGAACCAATTGATTTGCATATAAATCAAAATTACTGCGCGTTGCCGATTCTGGTGTTTTATAATCATTTCGAAATTAGTACTTAATTACTTGAGCTAAAAGAATATACAAATGTCTGTATTGACTCACTAATGAATTACCCAGTTAAAACGTCCAGGAAATGCTGGGCGCTGCAAAGACTGTTAAATCAAGACATATTAGAGGAGGGATGAAGATTGGAAAGGTAACAGACCAATATCTGGAATTCAAAGTTTCCTGTGATTCCTAGCTTTAATTTTGGAGCAGGGGTCTTTCTCCTATGTTGTTAAAAAGATTTTGTGCTTGCCTGTGAGTGCTTTCAAGTGGAAGGAGCGCTTCTATGGCTGCAGTGGCTCAGGCCCTTTGCTCTGACCGGGATCTTACAGTTCTAACCCAGGAGCGTTAAACTCTGGAAGACTCCGGGCCAGCTCTGGAGGTGCGTGGCCCCGCAAGCTGCCAGGCCAAGCCTTCTCTTTTTGTCTACCCTGCCGGCAGGCTGGGTGAACTGTGGCGGTGAGCTTTCGGCGCAATCAGAGAGCTGGAACCGGAGCCGACATTTAATAGATATGCTAACTGAGCACTTACCTTCGTCCCGAGAATAGGAATAAAAGGTAGCTCTTCTTAAGAGAGGCGGTGCAAAGGCACGCTATAGGAGTTCAGAAAAGGCTGGCGGCGGGAAATCTGTAGCCTGGGGGCTAGTCAACATCCCCTTTCATTTCAAGCACTTATTGATTTGCTGTTGTCATCTTTGGCGACGCAGAAGGACACTTGAAAGAATTTCTGATGGGGCTCTGATCTGAGAAAGGAGGTGACCTGCCCAGGCTCCCACCAAATTCTTAATTACCACATCAACTGCGTTTTTTATCCCCCAACCGACCTCCTTCCCCCATGGCAACCGAGTTTGCTTATTCTTAACTTTTTAATTATTCAGAAACTCCCTTACCTCTCAGTGGCTTCCCTTCTGCAGCGGTTTTCCTATTCGAACCTTTCCCCCCCTTCCCGTGGTAGGGCCTCTGTATTGATCCCTCTGACCTTTGGCACATCTGGGCCCTCCGAAATCTCTCAATCTTTTCAGATTTGAGGATGCAAGGCTCCACCCTCTCCACTGGTGCACACACTCAGAGATATGAAGACTTACACAGACTGCCTTCAAACCTAGGGGATCTAACAGATGTTCCCTTTCCAGTTCGTCTCTTGAAATCTGAAATGCCCGCCTGATTCCAAGTTGGATGCCACTCTCTCTTGCCCTTCCCTTTTCAAAGCAGTTTGGACATGTGTGCAAATGTGACCAGAACATCTCCACCCATATTCTTTACCAAACTCTAAATCAAGAAAAACTAATGCAGTAGATTGGGATATAGATTGCATCAAGAACTAGAACCCCCAGTTTCTGGATTCTCTATTCAGCTCTGGCTGTCATCTACATTGGGAGAGTCATTCTAAGCAGGAGGCCCATAGAAACCTGCATTCTGGGACAACTGGTAAAGCCACAGTAAAAAGTGGAATAATTTTAAAGTCATTTCATTAGAATGCAAATTGTATTTCTGTGTTTTGTTTGTAACCACCCAGTTTTAGTATATACAGAATAAGACAGAAAACAAAAAATAGGTCAACACAGTTGTTGGTATTAGAAAAGATAAATTCCATGGGCTCATCAGTGAAAAGAAGATCCTCAAAGTCTATAACTTTTGGTCTTTTAATTTCATTTATAATTCTGGGAATGAATAAGGCACCAATTACTTTATATATTTCATTTACATCGACCAATTCTCTATAAAAGCAGTTATAGAGAATTTCTTTTAACTTCTGGCAGCAAGTTCAAAAAAATAAAGCCATACCGCCACCCTGAACTGGATACATCTCTTGAACTGACCATTCCTGTAATTGCAGGTTTATGACATTGTTCCTCTATGGTCTTTTTGCACTCTTTTAGAATTTGCAAGTCCTTATCAGTTCTGATATCATTGTCCACATTCATTGCAGGCAACTTTGATAACTATGCTGATTTTAAAACAGCCTATTCTGCCAGCATAATCTTGGTTTTCAAATTACAAAAGCCTTTTAATATACAAAGTCCCCAGTTTTCACCTTCTTTAGCTCCTCGCTCCTTCAAAACTTCTATTTTAATTGGTGTAAGTAATAACAACTTGTATTACTACTTGTACTCCTTCTACTTTTTTGGAAATCAGGCTGGATTCCAGAGAGAACACCACCATCACCACCACCACAAACAACAAAATCTAAAACTAAAGCCCTTTCTTGCATGATAATTGGTACTTGGAATGCTTCTGACTTAGTCAATGTCATCTCACAAAGGTACCTTGTAAACTTGCTTGGAATTTCCAGCAAATGTTTGTAGTAACTGGAACAACTTCTCTCTGGGAAGATACCCTCTTTGATGGGATTTCAATTTCTGGAGGAATAGATTGAGAGCAATTAGGGAGGGAGGGGACATTGGAATTGGCAGCTAAGTCAGCTGAAACAAGCCTGGGTTCAGTGAGGTGACTGATGCAGTGGCTGATTCCCCACTCACAGTTTCTCTTTAATTAGGGCACTGATGTTTCCCACTATGGGAACCCAAAGCTCTTGGTGTGTATGTAGATTCCTCTCTCATGGCCTTCACCATGTGGTTTCATAGCAAGTCTCTGGTTCAGTGATGTTTTGTAGTCATAGTCCTTATTCATTATCATGATCTCAATGTTTAGGCTTTAATGTATTTATATGAAAGCTGCTTTACTAAGAAGCTGGAGCACATGGGAGAGATGGGAACAAGTAAGGACTCAGCAGAACTCAGATTCAGACATGTTTAAATGGCTTCGACTGTGTAAAGTGTGGCAATGCTTTCTGCTGCCCTAGCTTTCTACTCTAAACTTCACGTGTGCTATGAGAGCCTCTGGCTAATGAAGTGTGATGTAGTCCACGTACTAGGAATAGTAGTATTAGTTGAGAAGAAAGTAAAGTCAGGAAACCCGGTATATACAAAGTTCATCTAGCAATTTGAATTAGTAATATGGTAATAATGAGTATTTACAGAGTACTTAGTTAATTTAGCTATTGTACTAAACACTTTTGTATTGACAATCACACTTATTTCTTATGCCAACACTACAAGGTAGGTCCTATCATTTTACGAATGAGGACAGTGAGGCTTGGCATGATTGTGTCACTGGCCCAAGGTCACCCAGCTGGTTAGAGCACAAACTTATAACCACTGGAGGCTATAGGGAATAGGATATTGCTTCAGGAGACATAGTAAGTGACACAGTGGGAATTTGAATCTAGGGTTGTCTAACTCCAAAGTCCGAAACGTTAACTAGTACACCAAACCAATGGTGACCAGAACCAGAAGATCGGGGGCCTCTGGGAGAAAGAAATATATAGCTTACATATGGAATAGTTCATAAACAAAAGAAAAATGCAGAGACAGGAAAAGCAAATATATTTCACGGGGGATGGAGAAAGTCAGAAATGTTTTAAGTGCTAAAGAGGAGGACAGGAGAAATGATTGAATGAGAAAGCAGAAAAGCCAAACTCTGATATTTGTTCTGGGCAGTTTAGGAAGAGAAAGGTAAACTCAGGGATGCTCCTGAGCCACAGAAAAATTAACGCTCAGATTGTCAGGTTGGCCTTAGCCTCATATAAGATCTCAGGAATACGGTTTATTAGAACTGTTTCCCAAACAACCAAGGGAGAATAAAATCTCTGAATTGGGATTAAGTAGTTTTATTTCAAAGCCAAAGAGAGATGGAAGTAAGGACTGAGTAATAAGAACATCCATATTGCAAGAACATGCAAGTTGAGTGGGGAGTGAGATCTAGAAAAACCTGTTAGGAATCTGGTTATTGTGTTAAACTATGCCACACTCCAAGTAGAAATGAGATTATTATTATTATTACTCACCTAGGTCTAGTTAGCAGCTCTATTATTGTAGAAGTCATTTGAAAATTTAAGTGAAATGACTTCTGGCGCTGAAGAAGAAATCTTGGGTGGAAAGGTGTCAGGAGACAAATGCAGTGTGAAGATGATGATTCTAGGGACACAGTCTGTGGGGAGCAATGCTGGAGACCACATACCAGTTGTTGCTGGTAGAATGTTGGCTAGGGGAGAACACCAGGTAGTTTCCTACAAGGTTCATTGTATCACAAAAGGACAGTGACTGATCCCAAAGGTTATTCCCAGTTCAGGTTTGTCCCATTATTGAAAATGATTCAAAATTGGCTTCATTTTGGCCTTTTCCAGGAGGGAAAAGACAAATATAATTTGTATGCATGGCTTTTCAGTTTTAGGAAGCACAGGAAGAGAATGAAAAGATTAATCTAGTGTCTTGTTTTTTGGCAAAAACTCTCATACCTGTGCTGTTGCAGGAATTCAATAATATCTCCTCCAGAATGCTGTGGTATTTTTGAAAGTAAGATTGGAGAGCACACAGAGCCTTATTTTCTGTCTGTACGCTGTGGATCTCATAGAATTTTTCTAAACGGGAAAGAGAAATTAGAATTCATAGAAAGTAAGATCTGGAAAGGATCTAGAGGTTACTCCTCTTCCTTAGCCTATGTTTAAATTACTTCCAGAAATATAGCCAGCTACCCTTTTCAGGAAAGAGCCTCCGGTGGTCGCTTGGTAATGGATTCTCATACGTCGTAATTTCACAACTACACTGTACAGCCATTGACCTCACTCCAAGTACTGAAGAAAATCATGTCACATCAAAAAGCTCTGATTAATAGGGGCATGTTTTCTAGAATTCTCCAAATATTTCATGTCTTTATCCTAAAAAAGATGAAAATATTATTGGCCTCATTTAACAGATGGAAAACTGTGTCATAGAGACTTTTAGAGAGTTACACCCGGTTATGCTGCATGATGCTGAAAGAACTAAATTAAAAACAAAGTCAAGAAATTCTATGTTCAGGGCTTTACTAGCAGACACGTCACTTCTTGGGGGCTGGTTATTATCTTTCTGCCTGAGTAAAGTACATGTTTGATTGTAACTCTATCTGTCCTTCTGTTTGTCTGCCTGTGAGTAGTTTATCTTTTAATCCATCAATTTATCTCCTTGCTAGTTTTTTAATACACCATAAGTTAACCAATGTTGATAAAATTTCACCCTTACCGTGAGTGCTACTTGAGCAGATTGAGATGGCTGTCACATTTTTCAAATATCACATGTAACGAACAGTGCTGCTACTGTTTTAGCATCATGACTTCGTTCTTATCTGGAAATCGTACAAATACCATACCTTTTGTTATGACAGGACCACTTCCACTTATTAGGACTTTTGATATTTGTGCTGTCACTTGGGAAAATGTTGATCATTTTGTTCATGTCACTTTTGAAGTTATAACAATCGCTTTTTTGTTTAGCTACGTCTTTTTTTTTTCCACAGGTGAATTTAGTTGTTTTTTTTTTTTTTCTTTCTTTCTCATGCGTGTTTTCAAGAAACTGGTGCTTCACTGAAAGATGTTTAAATTTCCTAGGAGAAAATGTTGGAGCAGGAAGAATTTGCCAGGTACTGTTCTTATCTGAGTATTAATCTTCTTTCTTCTTTTAAATGTATATGTTCCCAAAGTTTTTGAGAATTTCTTTTTCCTGAATGTAATTCATGAATCAAAAGTGATAGTAATCTTTAAAAATATCATGTTGTCCACAACAAATATATACAATTTTTATTTGTCAATTAAAAAAAGCAATAGGATTCTTACTCATTTCTGGGAGGATATTTGCTCTTTTTATCCTCTCCTTAAGTATTTCCTCTCTTCTCTCAAAGATGTATTCACTGAGAGCATTTTGTGTTTTCTCTCCCCGGAGCCATGCGTGGTTAAAGCTGTGTTCTTGAAATTCTTTATTCTTTCTGTTACCATTGGTAACTCATTCTTCTTTTCATTAGTGCATTAATGTTATTTTACTGCTTTCTGATTTACACAAATCAAGTAGAATCTAGAAAACTCAATAAAAATAAAAATAATGCTTTCTATCCTGAAATATTTATTTATTGTTTTCCTCTAGGGTACATATATCATATTCATTTTCCTCATGCTCTACCCTTTCTAAATCCACAAGAATGTGTTATTGAATACAGAGAAAAAAATTCATGAAAGGAAAGGGAATGACTTACCTAAAATGAAGAAAAAGCAGAGGCAGGGTCT